GAGGCTCAAGAAGGAGAAAACGCCTCGAAGATTCACGATGAGAGAGCAGCGCCGGCTCGACATCCTTGCTAGCAAATTCGAGGAGATTGCGCGCAAGCGGCAAGAAGAGGAAGATGAGCGGCAACGAGCAGAAGAAGAAGCAGCCCGTATTGCCGAAGAAGAGGCTCGCCTTGCTGCTGAAGAACAGGCTCGGAAGGAGGAGGAAGAGAGAATTGCCAGAGAAGTAGCAGAACTTGAAGAGGAGGAGGCTGAATTTCAGGCACTCAGGTTCAAGAAGGCCAACTCGCCGAGGAGGTTTACAACAAAGGACCAACAGAGGCTTCAGCAGATCATCAAGCAACACAGAGAGAGGAAACGCCTCAAGCAAGAGGAAGAGGAACGCAAGCAACGAGAGGAGGAAGAGGAGAGGCAACGGCAGGCTGAAGAAGAAGCCCGTCTTGCTGCTGAAGAACAGGCGCGGAAAGATGAGGAGGCCAGGCTTGCGGAAGAAGCGAGGATCGCAGAGGAGGAAGCGAGGATTGCGGAGGAAGAAGCACTACTCGCGAAGGATGAGGCCGAACTTGAGACCCTTACAAACAAGAAGGCAAAAACGCCTCGTCGATTTACTCTCATGGACGGACGGAGGCTCGACGTCCTTACCAAGGATGTCAACCGGCGACGAGACGAGAAGGCTGCTCGAGAGGCTGCGAAGAAGGCTGCGGAGGAGGCTTCGCCAGAGGCTGCAGACCAGCCCGGAGACGAATGGCAAGATGCAGATGAAGGCCAAGGTCAAAGCAACGGCGAAGACCCCGAAGCAGCTGCTCTCAAGGAAGCAACAGAGAGGGCCATTCGTCAAGCGGAGGAGGAGGCCGAAGCCAAGCAGACAAAGAAGTCGAGCAGAGCCAAGGGCAAATCCAAGGCTGATCCACTCGATGACATGCAGCTCACTCCCGAGCAGGTGGACGAGTTGCTCGGAGACTCATCGAAACGGGACAAGAGTGTGGACAGCCAACCTAAGGAGGATAAACCTGATACCAACAACCACGCGCCTGGCGGGTTCAGCCTTTGGGGAGCTGCCAAGAGGGGCATCTTTGGGTTTGGAGGAGGCGGAGGGTGGGAAGACCACAATGTGCAGCCTGGTGCTCCGGAACCTGAGCCGTCGGCCGAAGATAACGAGGCAGCCATGGCTGCTGGTGGTGTGATTGGAGGCGTTCCTCCTGAGCTATGGGATGCAACCCCCAAGGCCGTCTCACCGTCGCCTGAACCAACCGCTGAGCCAGTGGCCTACCCCGCCAAGCCCACCAAGTCCAAGAAGGCTGCGGGGAGCAAGAGCAAGAGCAAGATTGCCGATCGCCTGCGCGTCTTCGAGTCACTTGACGCCGGGGCCGCGACACCTGCTGATACCGATGGTGGCCCGCCGCCAGCCGCACCATCGACACCACCACCACAGCACTCTGGCTATCCCCCTCCCCCGCCCGCGCCATATTTGGTGCGCTCGCCACCGTCACCTGCCATCTCACCCGTTGTCGCAGTTGCCGTGTCTCCGCCAGCGCAGAGAGAGGAACGACGAAAGTCATCAAGAAGGAGCAGAGATAAAGACAGAGGCTATTTGCGCGACGACGATAACGACTATTATCTATCGGTCCCTCCACCTCCGCCTCCACCGCCGCCTGTTGTTGCGCCGTCGGGCGCACCACCTGGGGGTTTCCCCGGCGGATTTCCGATCGACGACGACGACGACGACGACGACGATCACCGACCCAGTCGCGACATGCATGGTGACCATCATGACAACGACCCCGAAAACCACCGAGAACCTGAACTTGTCGATTCTGCAGCCGAACGGAGAGCAAAGAGACGATCCAAAAGGATCTCACCTGAAGGTGTCGAGTTCGACTTGCCGCCTGCACCGCCCTCGCCCCCACCTGTCGCGCCCGATGCGCCAATTGACGACGAAATGGCAGAGTCAAGATCGCCTCGAAAGGAAAGGCCCAAGATCAACCGCCAAGGTACAGCTTGGGGTATGGAAGGGAAGAAGCCATCTTCGAGGCCCAAGATCGAACGAGAGGCAAGCGCAAAGAAAAGGACGGCGCACATCGAGACGCCCGAGAAGCCACCACGGTTCAGAGAGAAGGATGCGGCGGCGGCCGTAGCAGCGCCAGCTCCGATGCAAGCGCGCTTCGCTAGCGTCTTCACCAGTACCCCTCCACTGTCGCGATCCATGTCCCAGCGCGAGAAGCGACTTGGTCCCAACGGCAAGCCCATCGCACGCAGATACTCGGATAGCACCAATGCCATCGTCAATCCTCCTGTTCCTCCTGCTGCTGCTTCCCCTCCGCCAGAAGATATCTCATCAAAGGCGGCAAAGGTCTTGGGTGTCGGTGCCCGCGGTCTCGGGGTTGGCCTTGGCCTTGCGAATGGAATTCTTTCCCATGGCTTTGGGCGAGGTGCTCCTGCTGCGCCTACACGCAACAAGCCGAGTAAGTTTTTGTGTTGCCTTTTGTTGCAAGACAACGATGTCGCTAACACATGTTTGTGCGACAATGCAGACTTGAACGATGACACGCCTGTGTCCGGTGCTAATGATCCTGATTTCAGCCCGACCAAGTCAGAACGCCGCAGGGCAAAGGTATGCGACAGCCCAACATTCGCCGCGTCGCAATCGAATCAGTCAGTTACTAATTACAAGTCGCAACAACAGCAATACATGTCCGAGGATGACCACGTCATGTTCGAGATGCCCGAAGCTGCACCCCCCGCTCGCCCCCCAGTTCGCCGCGTTAGCACCAGCAACGCCAACAAGAAGTCGGGCTTCAGCCTGTTTGGCGTCTTTGGCTCGAAGCAACAGCAAGAACCGCCGCCCCGCCCCGAACCTCCTCGTCGAAGCCGAACAGTTCCTACATACCAGACTACAGATGATGAAGGTGGCCGGCACCCCGCAGCCGCATTCGTCCCCGAGACCGACGCCGAGCGCGAAGCCCGCAGAGCCGCCCGTCGCGCACGCCGCGCAGAGAAAGAGGCAGCCGAGAGAGGCGCCGCCATACATTCCGCTGAAGAGGCTCGTCGCCAAAAGGACGAAGCCCGTCGCGAACGTCGCAGAAAACAGGAGGAAGAGGAAGAGGCTCGGAGGCTAGAAGAGAAGGAAGCCCGTCGTGCCGAACGAAGAGCCCGCAAAGCAAGAGAGGAAGACGATCGCCGTGCCAGAGAAGAGGAAGAACGCCGAGCTGAAGACCAAAGAGAAGCGGAGCGCGCCGAGCGGAGGAGGATACGGGCCGAACGAGCTGCTGCCGAGGCCGAAGCCGGACATCGTGACGTCAATGGCGGTAGACAACAAGATGAGCGGCGACGAGCCACCCGGCGTATGCCTCCTGAGTCTGACCGTGAGCACGACCGCGACCGCGAAGATGACGAGGAACGGCGAAGGAGAAAAGAGGCCCGCCGTGCTGCCAAGGCCGCTCAGCTTGCTGCTGAAGCTGCTGCCGATGAGATGGACAGGGCCAGGAGGGAGCGGAGGCCGAGAGAAAAGAGCACGGCCAGACCCGAACCACCGAGAGATGCGCTGCCAGATGAATACGTCTATCCAACCTCAAGACAGCAATCCAAGGCTTGGAAGCAGGGGCAAGGACAGCATGATGGATGGCCACGCTCGGGAACCACGTCGTGGGTCAAGGACCATGCTGAAGCTCCTGCTCCCCCATCGCCGCCCGGGCCTTTGGGTGCCTTTGTCAACGACCATGCCAACGGACATGCCAATGGTGGTGCGCCACCACCGCCACCTCCTCCTGCTGTTATGCGTCATGAGCTAGATGAGGAAGAGGCTGCTCGGCATGCAAGAAGAGAACGAAGAGCGCGCAGGGAGCAAAAGTACCACGCGGCTCAAGCGGCCGCTGAGGAAGCCGAGCGCGAGCGAGACCGTGAAAGGGGAGATGCGGCGTACATCAGTGCGCATGATGATGAGAGGAGACGGACGAGAAGGAGAAGAGGCGATGAAGAACGACCTGATCGCGCTGTACGTGAGCGTGAGCGTGACCATGCTCGACAGCAGCAGCGAGACCACAGAGATCGCGACCCCCGAGACCGTGCCGAACGCAGTCAGCGCGATCGAGACCAACGCGAGTATTACAGCGCTCGCGACGACCGGGAACAGCTTCCTCGGCCTCGGGAGCGGAAGCGCGGGGAACGGGCGGCCGATTACGACGACCGTGATCCCCGCGCGGAGAGGGGAGACAGGGGAGACAGAGGAGACCGTGGGGGGGACCGGACTGGATCCGGCTCCGGCAGTGATGGGAGGGAGAACAGGAAGAGTGGCGGTGGCGGGCCTGGAGATCAGGGTACTACGCCGAGGAGTAGCTGGTGGAAGAAGATTGCTAGGTTTGGCTAGTGATATTCTCCCAGTGGTTTTCGAATTTGCTTGTTTGCTGATGTATCGAAATTGGTTCGGCTGGAGTTCTGTGTTTGGGGGAGTTATTGTTGTATGATTTCATGGTTTGGGCCAGCACCATATATGGATGTGGGATGAGTGTGGGAATCAGGCGACATGGAGTTCAAGGGACGTATGATTGTGGTTTTCTCTTGGGTCGGTGCAGAGGAGCATGGTGTCTGCCCCTATCCGGTCGCTTGTTACATTTACTTGTTCATGAGAGTGTTTATGATTTGATGATATACACGGATGATGACAAAGAGATAATAATGACACCGTTTTAACAACGTCGTACTTTTATGGTTATAAGGTGGATGTTAAAGTTGGTGTAGGAATTGCGGGGTGTTCTGGAACAAGTACAATCTCTAGTCTCGTTAAGGCATGGAGATATTGCTACAGACAGCTGTTTGAGTTATCTCTGTCGCTGTGTCATTGTGTGCTCATCGTTATCTTTGCCTGTGCGATGGTTCCTGTGCCGAGAGGTTGGTATATATCGAGTGGTTCGTCTCGTCTCTGTCCTATCTCTCCGAGGCCTTCACTCACTGATCGATCAGTCTTTAGGCCGTCACCGTCACGATGTACAGCGAAGAAAACATTCCAAAATAGCTCATAATTATTTAGAATCCCCCTTTTCATTTTACCCCCTGGGTATATAACTACCAGACATTATCCATTACATAACGTTAAGCATGTCAACCAAAAGACATTCTCATTCACGAATCAAATCCCCCTTTTCCACCATCTTCACCAACCCACTTTAGTAGTTTCTAGGAACCAGCCTCTGGGGATCCTCAGCCTTCAGATACCCATCAGCAATGAGCGTCGCGACGTTCTCATAAGTCTGGTACTGAACGCCCTGACCAGGCTGGCCGAACCACGGGGCGATGGGTCCAGCAAGGACAGCAAAGGGCTTGATGACGCTGTAAACGTGGTAGTTCCATGGGAACCTATCATGATATCTCCTGTTAGTCTTTTCTTCCTTTTTTTTTCCTTTTCCTTTCCCCATTCCACTTCCCCTTGAGGAGAGGGGTAACAAAACAAGGAGAGATAAAAAAAAAAAGCTCACTTGGCATCCCCATTCAAATTACTAGGCGGCAAACTCCTCTGCAGATACGGCGCCGCCGCCGGCGCCAGGAAACTTCCATACTCGCTGCCGAACCGGTCCACAAACGTGCCCGTCTGCAGCGTCAAGTTGGCCGCGATGATGTTGCCCTCGTCATCCACACTGAAGCCGTTTTGGGGCGGGTAGTCCCACCACCCGCTGCCCGTCTGGTTGAACCACTTCTCCAGAAAGGCGCCCGGGCAAAGTCCGCCGAAGCGGTCGTAGATGTCGAGGATGGGATCCAACGGCAAAAAGAACTGGGGCAGCACGACGGGCCCCAGGCGCGAGTCGCCGCAGATGTAGGTTGCCGACAGCGTCCGGTTTTGCGCGGTGCCGGCGCAGTAGGCGGGCGAGCGCCTGCTGTAGGGGCAGGTGGTGGCGGTGGAGGAGGCGTTGACGTAGGAGCGCTCATTGAGACTTCCAGAGGAGGAGGAGGAGGAGGAGCCGGCGGGAAGGGCGACGGCGGTGCTGGTCAAGAGGGCGACGGCGGTGGAGAGGAGGGTGAACTTCATTTTGGCGGTTGGTGAGAGGGTTGGGTTCGGTTGTTGTTGTTGATGGGAGTTATGAAGTAAGTATTAAGGGTATGTGAAGTTCGTCCTGGAATCCTCTCGAGGCGAATGCCGGGGCTGGTTGGGTGGCCTGGGGGGTGAAACTGGTGGTGAGGGCTGAGGAAGACACACGAACACAACAGAAGGGGAGGACGTCGTGAGAGTTTATATATCTCCACGACCGAGAACAGACAAAGTAAAGTTACCAGCCATCTGAGTGATCAACAGACACTCCGTACATATTTACTCCGTACCTGTATGTATCCCCGGCCGGTTCGTGGTGTCCTTGAACCGTGGAGCCCGGCCGGCTCAGATCCATGGATCCATGCCGGATCTGATCTGAGATGTGCCCCCTTCCCTCCATGGCCCTGTGAGTGAGTATTGGCGGAGTTACCGCCTCAAGAATTCCACACCGCGTTCTCTTTTTTTTTTCTGCGTAAACTGAGAAATAAACACCCCTTGTCAAGTCCACTCAGATGCATTTCCCCGGTCCCATCGCGGATCACATCCCCCTCCTTGTACGTACCTGGCCCAGAATGGCTGGTGTAGTATAAAATTCGAAGCTGGCCTGTGAAGTTTTCACCGGCTAATGCGAGGCTTGACTCGGCCACGCCCCGCGTCGGAAGGGAGATTGACACTCGACTCGGTCGACATACTTTGCAGGTGGTACGAAGAACGAGAGCCGCCAATGGCTTTGAGACATGCTTACCTTACTTGCACTGCCCGTGCTTCGTACTTCATGATGTTCCGTTGTGAGACCTGCTTTCCCCTTGTCATTGGCCCTATATCTTTCTGGCAGATAATCTATCGTTGACACCGAAATGTGCATTTCTCAATCTCTCCCAGTTCAGAGTTTTCTGGCCCCAAAGACCTGAAGATCACGAGGCAGAAAGAAAGAAAATCTCGACGTGTCCCTGCATGAGTTCGGCACTGAGCTGAACTGAGGGTTCCCTTTTAGTCTTTTGTAGTCTCTTGTGGTCCCACTCTTAGCTTTGTCGATCCGTGGATCTTTTTAGTGACGGTCCGGTGACAGTTCAGGAGAGCCAAGAGCACTGGTGTAAGCCGAGTCCCCCTATTGGCTAGGGTTGGCTTGCTAGAGGCGTGCTGGGGAACCACCTGAATCGACCCTGAATGGAGACCTATGGAGGCATGAGGTTGGTAAGGTGGTAAGCTGAATGAATGGCATGGCCGAAATGTCGGATCTCATTCTCAGCCCCAATGTTTTCTTTCGGAGCGGGGTTTGACTACTTTGGGATTTTCGCTGCTGTAAGAAATGGAAGGTGAAGCGATGCTTTGTTCCTGCGGAGCGAAATGCGTGAAATAGTAACGGCTTTGCCATAAGATTGTTGTCTCAACTCAAAACTGATCGAAACATTCTATTAGGGCAGGTACTCAGACTGGTTTCATTGACCCTGAGACTCTCAACTTCGATCGCGGCTTTGAGAAGCTTGACTTGGTTCACTTCGAGACCTAGCTATAATGGCGGGCCGTGAATATCTCCCGGATTTCACTGCTTACTTCGGTCCGAGCACTAACTCGGCGTACACTAGTTTCCCTAGTACTAAGACCTGTTCGGTCTCCAGTTTCTTATCTTTCATGTCCCTCTTCGTCTGTGAATCAAGTGGGAAGCATGTGCTAGTGAGATTACTCCGTCAGGACAAGATGTAGTACAGACCATCAAACTTGGTCCGGCTTTCTTTTTGACACACGATATTGAGGTCCACCCAAGAGAGACGCAACAAAAGTGGTGAGAGCCTCTGGTTCACCTTTCCAAACCGCCGACAATGAGGACGAGGCTTGCTGCTGCCGGTTCTTTCTCCGGCACTAACCCTCTCGTTCCATATTTCAAGGGGGGAATACTCGGTGTTGTGGCTGAGTCATGGGAGTTGTGGTCCTTATCACTTAGAAATACTGTGATATTTTCGCGATGCAGGATGACGATGCTGATAGATATGGCTTTAATTCTTAATTGGGACCGTGGCTTCGTTGGCTCTGACGGAAGTGGCCATGGCTGCAGCTGTAGGGCTCAAGAGAGTGAATGCCAAGATACGTGTGTTAATAACGGTTGCGGTGGTGCAGTTGTCTTTGGCCAGAAAAAAAAAAAGAATTACTGGAGGCAAAGCTTTAGGGTAGAATCGTAATCTCCTATGAAACCACTTATCAAATATTGGTCTATCGCCCTCCCAAAGACAAGCATGGAATCAGTCAAACGCGGCAATAGTAGGGAAGTTACCGAGACCTTTCCGACCTGCGGATTGGGTGGACCGAGAATTTCAGGATGGCATGACTACCAACAAGAACAAAGCCCCCCAAGTCAAAGATGGAGACACTGTCCGGAGTCATAGTCAGCTCCAACTCAGTTTCAAGTGAAGAGGAAAGAGACATACTGACGGAAGGATATGGCCGGTTTATGACATGGAACCAGATTGCCAGAGGAGAAATACTCGGGATGGAGAGCCTCGGCTGTAGTCAGCTTTAGACAGACACATTGAGGTCTAGGGTTCCCTTGAAGCAGGTCTTGGCGGCATATGAGCACCGGATAATGGATATTCAAGAATAGGCATTAACAATATCAGACACCACGCAACGCGATGCGGACTAACTACTACTAATGATAAAGACAACTGACAGACAAAAAGGCCTGCGGTGCTATGGTGCTCCAGTCCCCTCTAGCCCGTGATCGTCCCCGTCTCTGAGTCGGACGGGAAACCAGTTCCGCCTCTCGGTATAGATATGAATGCTGGCTCGTGAAAAAATAATATGTGGTGCCGCCTTGCCGTCGCGTCGTGTGTATGTCCTCTTGGCGTGATTCGTCTATTTCTTGATGCCCTTGCTGTCGAGGAAGGCCTTGAGGATGATGACAAAGTTCTCGAGAGCTGCGAGGTACTCCTTGAGCTGAGCGTTGACCTTGTCCTGGTCGTCACCGAGCTTGGTGTAGAAGTCCTTACGGTAAGGGCAAGCGCTCATGGCAGCGCTGAAGATGGGCTTGATGAGGAAGCTGTGGTGGGGCTTGAGGGTGACATCGTAGGCAGCGCGGAACGAGGTAGAAAGCTCCTGGTCAGCGGCGGCGACGTTGTTGGCAAGACCTTTGCAAGTGAACTCGAGACCCCTGGAGGTTTGCTTGTTAGTACACCGTTCCTCCTCCTTCTTCTTCTGGAGCCGTCCAGCCTAATGTTCTCTTACCTGACGAGCCAGAGCAGGGCCTGGCCGGCCTTGTTCTCCTTGGCCTTTTGCTCGTTGTTTACAAGGTCCTGGAGAGTCTCGGACTCGGTAGGGGCGGCAAGAAAACGCTGGCGGATTTTCTAGAACAGATGGAAGCACATTGTTAGCTGGCTGCACTTGGCGTATGTAAGGAACCTCGGTCAATGCTGGACTGGACAGCTGACGCACCTCGACATTGCCGAGCATGTCGCTCTTGACGGGGGAGAAGGCGGCAGAGCCGAGCACATCGAAGATGGAGACTAGCGACTCGGCAGCCTCGAGGAACTCGGTGGTGGGAATGGCATTGCCCTTGTCGGCCTGGACGGGGACGTCGGTGAAGGAACGCTTGAGGGTGTTGAGGTAGGTACCTCCGGGGGGGATCTGGCCGGTAGACATGGTGGTGGTGGTGGTTGTTGTTGTTGTTGTTGCGTGGATTGGTCGTGGAGGATGGTGATGACGATGAAGATGGTTAGTTTGAAAAACGAAAGAGATGAAGAAAGACAAGTCAGATGTTTAGAAGCAGCAACGGACTCGACGGAACGTGGTGGGAAAGGGGGTCGGTCACTCCATGGCGGAGTGGAACAGTGGAACTTGAAACTGTCACCATCCCCAATCATTCGACTGTGCCCCGCCCAGAGCTAGGGGACAAGTACCTGAAGGCGGCTGTGCTAGGCTCGCTAGGGCAAAGAGTACATGTCCTGACACGCGGCAACCAAGAAGGTGCTCCCTCCCCCGCAAATCTGCTGTGTCTCTAGCTCGTCCACTGAAGCCGGTGGTCCCTTTGAAACGCACGGTGTTGAGGGGGTTACAGAAGGCAGGAATGGAAAAGGAAGATTCAATATTCTGCAGTGATTGACTTGCATGTTTCGAACAACAGAACACACTGTGAACCCTTGATGTTGCGATAGGGATGAAAGCTTCCCCTTGCCTTGCTAGAGGTACACTACCTAGCTAGGTAAGTACTCCTTATCGATTAGGGAAGAGTACCTTTGTGGTTAAGTCAGGCCGCGGTAGGAAGGAACAGGACGATGCTTCTCAACATGACGAGGTTCCATACCGCGGAATTGTAGCCAAGTATTGGTCAGAAGGGAGCTCAAGACCCACTATTCTGCGCTTGGAGCTCCCCGGTGGATTTCGCGTTCCTGAAAGTCTCGAACTCCCGTCGCCCATGATTGAGGACCTACTCGAGGCGCAGCTGTTGCCTTGTATCAATTGGACCCTCAAGGCCTCTTCAGAACATGGCAGTTTCTATAATCGACATTGTCAATTTGAGACAATCCAAGTCTGTGAGCTTCAATCAACGGAACAGCATGCGGTGCACACTCACACAAACACACAGGCCACGCGGTCGCATCAATGCAATGCAATGCGGCAACACAAGAACTGCTAGCATGACGTCATTCCGAAGCCATGTTAGTGATGATGGTTTACATAGCCGCTTCCCTTTGGTGTTGTTTTTTTCCCTTCAATTTCTTTCACCTAACCCGGTCTTCCACTTGACGGCTGGACCTTTGCGCCTCTTGTGTAATTGCAGCGACTTCTTCCCTCGGCCAACCAGACTTACGCGGAGCAAGAAAAGGTGATGACCAAGGCGGATCAGAGATGCCGAGGGTTGGGGAAGTCGCATCACTCGCACGTTATTCCGCCCTAAACCGCCCTCTCCATGTTTCTTGGAACCACCCGAACACCCTAGGCACACGTAGTATTCAACCTATTCTCGAACGAACCTTGTTTATTCTCCGAGCCAACTTTTCTTTCTCGACGGCATTCTCGTCATCCTCCCCCCCTATGTAGTCCAAGCGGGCTTCCCTTCCTTCCACTCAGCATCCTTGTTGCGCTTACCCTTCTGCTTCTTAAAGAACAGGCTTCCGTCGTTTATCTAGAGCAGCAAGCACCCTACGTACTTTAGCGCCTCCGCCTTACTGGCCTAGAATTCCCAGATACCCCTCCAATTCTTTACAAAAGTCAACATCACATTGTTTCGCCAGATTGTGCTTCTGAGGATCAAGCACTGCCACGACAATGGCTACCGCTCTGGCTGCAGGTGATCCTGCTCAGAACGGTAAACACGAACATAAAAGGAGCACCAGCGAAAAGCTCAAGCATCCCTTTCGCGAGCTCCGCGAAAAGCTGGCCAATAGTAGTTTACACGAACATCTGGTCCACGAGAAGCACAAAATCGGAAAGTTCAAAAACTTGATCAACCCCCAGCATCGCCATGACGAGGAACACGAAATAGCCTGCGACAAAAAGCGAACAAGCATCTGCACCTCCCATCGTTTCGACTCCTTCTTTCCTGAACGGGATGGCAACAATATCAAGTGGTATGTCGACGGCAGAGACTACTTTTGGGTAAGTTGACTTCCTCTGATCATGCAGATAATTCCAGCTTACAACCATGCTAGGCTGTCTCTGTAGCTCTCGAAAAGGCAAAAGAGACCATCTACATTGCCGACTGGTGGCTTTCCCCCGAACTCTTCCTGCGTCGTCCTCCCGCCTATAACCAAGAATGGAGGCTTGACCAGATTCTCAAACGTCGTGCTGAAGCTGGCGTCAAGATCTATGTCATTGTATACCGCGAAGTCGAAGCCGCAATTACTTGTAATTCTGCCCATACCAAGCATGCCCTCCAGGCACTCTGCCCAGAAGGCTCACCGGGGCACGGAAACATCACGGTCATGCGCCATCCCGACCACAATGTCCTGGAGAACGTTGCCGACATGACTTTTTACTGGGCCCATCACGAAAAGTTCATTGTCATTGACTACGAGATGGCCTTCATTGGTGGCCTCGATCTCTGCTTCGGCCGTTGGGACTACCATCAGCACAGCTTGTCTGATATGCACCCTGAAGGCATCGCCAACGAGATCTGGCCCGGTCAAGACTTCAACAACAATCGTATCATGGACTTCAAAAACGTTAAGGATTGGAAGCAGAACGAGCTGTCCAAGGCAGAGCATGGCCGTATGCCGTGGCATGATGTCGCCATGGGAGTGCTGGGTCCATGTGTCTATGACATTGCTGAACACTTCGTCCTTCGCTGGAATTTCATCAAGCGAGACAAGTACAAGCGTGACAAGCGCTATGACTGGATTGAGCTACAAGGCCGGCAAGGCGAAGATGAAGATCTAGTTGGAGTCCAGAGGCCCAGATTTCCCGTGGGCGAGTACGTCGTTCATCCACTCACTCCCCTCGCCAACAAACCTATCGTCGACCGAGGCACCATACACGCCCAACTCGTCCGCTCCAGTGCTGACTGGTCGAGCGGAATCCTTACCGAACACTCGATCCAGAATGCTTACAGCGACATCATTCGCAACGCACAGCACTACGTCTACATCGAGAACCAATTCTTCATCACGGCCACTGGAAAAGAACAATCACCCATCCACAACACTATAGGCCGCGCCATAGTAGACGCCGTAGTCCGTGCTGCCAAGGAAGGCAGAAAGTTCCGCGTTATCATTCTCATCCCTGCTATTCCTGGCTTTGCAGGTGACCTTCGCGATAATGCAGCTTTGGGTACCCGTGCCATCATGGACTACCAGTACAAGTCCATCTGCCGTGGAGAGCACAGCATCTTTGAGCAGATCCGCAAGGAAGGAGTGGATCCCAACCAGCACATCTTCTTCTTCAACTTGCGAAGTTACGATCGACTTAATAGGACCGCTGCCGAGAAAAGAATGGAACAAGAAGCTGGAGTGTCGTACCAGGAACTCCAGCGAGCCCAGGCGGAGGAAGTCATGAGTGAAGGAATCCACGGCACCTACGACCCCCAAGGTGGCCGTGATTCCCACATGGGCAACCTAAGAGATCAGAAAGACACCCTGCAGGATTCCGAAGAGCAGAAGCACAGCCGTGATGCGAAGAAGCGGTTCGAGGAAGCTAGGAGCAAGGTAGAAAAGGAAGGGACCGGCGGCGATGAAAAGGTGAGCGCATACGCTAACGCCGACGGCGAGCTGGACGGCAACATCAACGGAGGCCACTTCAACGGCAGCAACCCGAACGCCTCGGAAACCAGTAGCCCGTCGAGGGCTAAAGACAATACCCGCACCCAGTCCAATTTCACCGTCGCCCACCACGCGATGGCCCACACAGGATCCGTGGCCGATGTCACTTGGAACGGCGACCCGGAGGACGAAATCAACAACTGGATTCAGGAGGAGCTCTACGTGCACGCCAAGGTGCTCATCGCGGACGACCGCATCGTCATCTGCGGCTCCAGCAACCTCAACGATCGCAGCCAGCTGGGCTATCACGACAGCGAGTTGAGCATCATCATGGAGGACAAGAAGACAGTCCAGACTACCATGCACGGCCAGCCGTTCGAGGCCGGGTGGCACGCTACCTCGCTACGTCGGTACTTGTGGCGGGAGCATCTCGGTCTCCTGCCGCCACAGGATCTAGACGCTAGTGGTGATCCGAATGCGCAGCCACCAGGCGATGACTCGCCCAATGATGCGTGGGAGCGGCATGAGAGCTGGAAGCTGGTGGAGGATCCTCTGAGCGATGAGCTGTGGGAGATGTGGACGAGTAGAGCGACCAAGAATACCGAAGTGTTCCGGCACTTGTTCCATGCTGATCCTGATGATCACGGTAAGCTTTCCTCACCTACAAGCCGTCCCCCCCCCCCCCCCCCTTTTTTTTTTTTGTTTCTCGTGATGACTCAACTAACCATCAACAAAAAGTAAAAACCTTCGATGAATATAACGCCTTTCTCCCAGCCAAGGGTGTCAAACCAGGTCACATATTTGACCGATACATGCCGCCCGACGACGCCCGGAAGAAGCTGAGTCAAGTGAAGGGGCATCTAGTATGGATGCCGCTCGACTTTCTCAAGGATGCGGACATGGCAGAGCGCGGGCTTCAGGTGAACTCGTGGACCGAAAGTGTTTATACCTAGGTGGGCGTGCCACGGTGGGTGCGATTAAGGCTTATTGATTGGACTGAGAGGATGTATGTTTGAGTACTGTGGAATATAAAAGGGGGAAGGCTTGAGGAGGTATGTTCTAATAAGTAATGTCTTCCGAGAGACAGGTTTCTCATGACGTCGAATGAATGATATGGCCAACGGGAAAGGATGGGTTGGATGGCGCGCAAGGGTATTATTATCATATCTAAGTGTAATACTGTTAGTGAATATGAATATAATGACTGATGATATATCTGGAGTGTGGTTGAAGTGTGCTCGTAGCTGTCTGAATCGTTTAGATGCTGAAGAGAGAGTGGTGATTGAGCAGGACCCCAGGACGGCAAGGTGCACAGGTTGAAGTTTGTTGATTTAAGGCATCACTACAACCTTCAAAGGAGGAATTAAAAAAAGAACCCAAGGCAACGAAGAGAATCAGAATGTTACAATGGTTGTGGAAGAGAGAAAAATAAAATGAAAATACCAGAAATAAAACACCAGAGATACGCTGGTCGTCACCGACCGGCAGATTATAAGAAAAATTGACCGTCCTGACACTGCCTCTAGATCTTTTACACTGGTAACACCAAAATTGCACTCGGTCAGAATACTCTTTCTCTCAGAATTCCTAGAACTAGTATATGCAGATAGTTGCCGAGTCTGATGAGAGCGTGGCAAGGGAATCAATCTCTCGCTTTTGTCTTGTTGGATTACGGCTTGAAACTTGTCACGATACGTACCTTCTTCATCTGCCTGCTACCGGAAGTGAACCCTCTGGTTGACCTTTTCGGCATGTCCTCCACTACATTCCAGCATCAAAGCTGCATTTGATCCTTGAAAGACGAAACGTTGATGTGGCACGCTGACACCAGGCTTGATGCTAGGTGCGAACGGCGCTACGAAGATCCCTCTACCTTTCCGCCGCTCGAGGGTGTCCTATGTATGGTACAATCCATTAGGCATCATTCCCTATCTTTCATCTATCTCTTTTCCATTGTCACTGGCGTCCTTTCGGACCATCGTTCTAGTAACCAGGTTGGGTAAACAATTACATCAGACCAGACCAGACCAGGAGATGGTGGCCGAATGAGAGCCTCATGGGAACGTGGATACCCCCCCCCCCCCCCAAAAAAAGACTATTCTGGTGTCACGCCGGCCACATTCCGGAGTACTGACCTATACCAAACAACTCTCTCTGGTAAACACATGTCTGTGACGGTGCAGGTCCGGCAGGGACTGGGCAAGAAGCACAGAAAGAAAGGCTGTAGGAATAAGAGAAACGCTTCCCCGAGAGCCTACCTAGGTCTAAAGGCGAGCTGCGATACGGGACATCCGTGTCCTCGTGGGATTGGAAGCCTTATGTGTGTCTTTTAGGCATCCCGGCATCCACTGAATGGCATTCCCACGTCTGAATGTATGTAACCTGGGGCAAATCTGTAAAACCCTAGCTGCATATGCGCGCGGTCGATCTGCGAGAGATTCTATTCGACGCCTATTGAAGGTGAAAAGGACTGCCCTCCGGTTCGAGACCTGTCAAAGGTGCTTATCTCACTTTGTGTTGGGAGATGATAGGCTCCGTGGCAATTCAGTATAAAGTAATGCCAGCCGAATATGGGGGACGATCATCAAAATGATCTGAATATTCCACAGACCAATCTTTGACCGCGATTAGCGATGAGGCTCGATGAGAAAAGAGGGGGTTGACCGAACTGAAGGCGGGCGCTCAGAAAGTTTGGGAACCGTCTGGAGGGCAATGGTAACTACAGCCCAGTCGGGATGGCGACTTCGAGTCTGAGATGTGATGGGCGAAATATACTTCTATATCACCATCCTCTCTGCTTGTCCAAGATTTCCCAAGACAGCATTCTTGACTTTGTCTGCCTTTTCACTCGGATGATCTAACAGACACAACCCATGTCGACCGGCCATGGATCTTCGTCACTTCTTCGTTACCTTCCTCTTCGTCGTCTGCACGTGGGCGGCCAAAAACACCGACGAGGTCCGTGAGTTCATATACGATAATCGCGATAATAAAACCGTACTGAACGAGGAACCCGCTCCGCCATGGGTGAGTTCGCCAACCGTCCGGGGTACCGGTGATATCATCATATCATGCTTGGTGACCTTGATTGCCTGCGCCTACACTGCTATTCATCCGACCGTACCACCTGGAGGCTCTGGCAAAAGGAGCTTCACGCTCATCAAAGCCGCCCTGGTGCTGGTGGCACTTATGTGTCCCGAGGCCGTGTTCGCACTCGCTTTCCAGGTGTATCTTGACGCCCGAAGACTGAAGAAGACGCTCAAGGGAATCATCAAGAAAGGCAATAAGGTAATGCGAACGGAAAGACTTACAAGACATTAGTAAAACTGCTAACCCTTCGTGTAGGAGGCCCTGGATAAAGTCGATGAAATTATTAAGACCAAAGAGAAAGGCAATGAGGTATACGAACGGAAAGACCTACTCAACATAAGTGAACATGCTAACCCTTCGTATAGGAGGCACTGGCTATGGTCATATTCAACAAAATCATCAAAACTAATGAGAAAGGCAATCAGGTATATGCGAACGGAAAGACCTACTTGACGTGAGTATAGATGCTAATCCTTCGTATAGGAGGCCCTGGCCATAGTCGATAAAATCAAACAGAGCAAAGAGAAAGGCTATGAGGTATGCGAACGGAAAGACCTACTTGACGTAAGTAAAGATGCTAACCCTTCGTGTAGGAATCCCTGGCCATGGTCAACGAAATTATCAAGACCATAGAGAAAAGCAATAAGGTATGTGAATGGAAAGACCTACTTGACGTAAGTAAAGATGCTAACCCTTCGTGTAGGAGGCCATGGCCATGGTCGATATGAAGTTCTGTTACTTCGTTGTCATGGGTGGCCTGCAGGTCGACATCTCCGACATCAAACCGTCAGACCATGTCCAATTTTACTTCCATGGCCACAACATGCCCGAAACGCTTCCTCTCTCAGCCGACGGAGTGATTGAGCTTGCCAAGCTGGGGCCCGGGTACCTGGAAAAACTCCTCGTTGAGCCCGCCGTGATCGAAGACAAAAGCAAAGGGGCATTGGTGCAAAAGTGCGTAGTTCTCGTCCAAGTCGCTTGGATGGGCATTCAGTGCATTGCCAGAAAAGCTGCGGGGTATCCCGTTTCTCTTTTGGAATTGCACACCTTTGGCCACGTTCTGGTTGCAATGTTACTATACCTGTGTTGGTTAAAAGTGAGTTTGCCTCTCCATACGTGGTGATTCTCGTCCCTTTTTTTTGACAAGCATCCCCGCTGATTCGTGACTAACACGTCCACAGAAACCCCTTGACGTGCGACAACCAGTCTTCGTTAACCCTGCCGACTTCAAAGACGAGCCAACTAGAGAAGGCTTTCAAGATGCATTAGCACTGATGGTTCAGGAACAGTTCTGTGACCTACAGAATCTCACTGGCTTCCTAAACTTGAAGTGGAAACAAGAAAAGCTGGACAAATCGAAGGCTACCAGGGAAGAGGATGGTCGGAACTCTACCAAAGAAAAGACGGCCCTGATTGTTGTGAATCAGATGGCCCAAGAATCGACGCCTCTGCCTACTCCAGCAGACCAACCTGATCAGTACATGGGACCCGGAAAGTCGACAACAGGCTCACAGGATTCAGTCCTGTCAGTTCCAATCGAGGAAGTAGACGTACCGTCCGGGAATCCGGAAACCTTCGATCTGGGTATCAATCAGTATCTTCCATGTGGAGTCGGCCACATGCCCGTGTCCCAGGAGCCGAACTGGAAATGTATTTGGACTGGTGCGGATAACTGGCGAGTTGACTTGAGAAAGGCGTCCGGCTTCGACCGCAGAGAAGAAGACAAATTTCCAATCCGTCTCACCCGGGCCGATCGTCGCCGCGCAGAAAGAGCAGCGAGACACATCAAGGTTGTTGAGGAACTGTACCGCATCGATCCAGTCGAGCAACCAGAGCCCTACGCTTACAAAAGACATGGATCGTCAGGCCAACATTGTCGGTATACCGATCTTGGATACAGGCGGGCGTTCCAAACTCTCAAGTTTGAGGTCGACAAACTCAATCCACTTGCTGTCAACCAGAAGGGTGGAGCCCAACATGACAGCGAAAACTCCAACCCGGAAACCATTGATGCCAATCGCCGGAAACTACTCGAGGAAGTTACTCCCAGACTCATCATACGGTACGCCGCCTTCCTAGACGCCACCTTCAGCGGCTTCAGCAAAACAAGCTACTTCGTCTGCGTCATGGTCGGTGCCTCCGTTGGCGCTATCCACCTAGCAGCCTGGGACTCCGTCTTTCCTACAAGAGTGGAGAGTATCATTTGGAGGATAGCGAGTCTCCTGATGATGGCTACCGTTCCTGTTGGTCTATGCTATCGCTTTCAAATTATCTTTATCCAGCGGTATAACTTCCAGCATTTCCGGCTGGGTTATCAGACATCCCGTGTTTGGCTCGTTGGGTTCCTCGCCGCATGGTATTTCTTTTTAATTATAATATCCATAGTTGTTTTCGTTACCGTGCGGGGGTATCTCATTGTGGAATCGTTTATCAGTGTTCGCTATATGGCTTATGGTGTTTACTTTGTTCCGGACTGGCTGCAGATCTTCCCACACATCTGAGTAAGCAGTGTCATTTGGGGGATTGGGTGTGGTGGTTATGGATTTGGAATTTTCGACTGGTGTTCGTGTTCGCGAGTTGTTGTTGGTTAACCCTGGGCAAATAATGTCGTACTTCTTGCGGGACAAAGTCTTCATATGACCGGGTCAAGATGCTTCCATCTTTCAGGGTCGTTTGTCGCAGGACGTCTGGTGATATGGAAGGTGGTTGTTCAGTTTTTTGACCCTACCACGTGATAAATAGACCCGTTTTATATCCTTTCAACTCCCAGACATAAGTTGACCCTCACATAGCTTGTGTCCCTCACTGGCTTATTTATGGGTGAGCGGATGGGATCCCGTGTTTTCTAGTGGGTATGGTCGTAAGTGGTTGTTATGCTCAGAGTCTGCTACTATGAGCTTTTGCTGTGGGTAGAACAGCGCGCTCGTTGGTATGCAAAAGGATAAGCAACCACTGATGATAGCCTTTCACCGTGTTTGCATCAGCTTAGTTGCTAGGCTCTAGTGCCATGGCAAGGCCGGATCGACATTCGAGCTCCATATCCAGCTATAGTCCTGCGCACCGTTAGTTTGCTGTCCAAGGCTGCCAGCAACTACGCGCCCATCGGTGACAGAGTCGCTGTGCGATTCAAAAAAGGCTGCGTTCATGTTAGAGAAATCTCACTTCAAGTCGGCGTCATATTAACTTGCCCTGCTCAAAATCAAAGAGTGCCTGCGTGGTCGCGAGATCTTCGTAGAAGCCGAGATAGGGATCCTCGGGCGTAACAAGGGGGTCCTGCGTTACGAGCATATCTACCGCTTGTGCTTGACCTCTTTGCATCAATGCTGAAGCACAAGAGGAGCCACTCTCTGGCGCGTCGTGTTCGTTGCACCCAGCAGACGCACGAGACGCTGCGGCAACCTCCTGTCCAGCCTCGATCTCAACACGCGACGGGTCTGGAAGAAGCGATATGTTCAACATCTCATCCCTCTCCTTCTGCAACACAAGCGACATCAGTCTTTTCGAGACAGTCAGGCCTTGTGAAGTGACGATGCTCTTGCCGGTGAGTCGGGACTGCATCTCCATCAACCGTCGAAGTCCCATTTTACAGTCATGGGATGCTTGGCTCATCGTATTGAGGCTAGCTAAGATGGACAGTGTAATGGCAGCCGTCAGAAGATGCAGGCAGATGAACGCAACAGCATATGTAGCTCCGGCGTCGTGCACAAGAGGCAGGGAGCAAATGTCGGAGATCTGTAATGCAGCAGCCTGGCATGCTCGGACGGAGGCTTGGCACGGGTCTGAACGATCTGGCGGAGGAGGCGCGTTAGCCTGATGACAGTCTGGCAGTGCTAACCTATATTTCAACAAAGGTCTGTGAATAAGGATCCTTGCGTTCTCGAATGCAAGCTTCAGAGAGAGTGTCTGTAGGGGAAAAAGGTAGTGGAAGCATGCTCTTGAACATGGCCCGGCGGCGCCAGCAACATAGTCTCTGCAAGGCGCCACCGCACCCACTGGCATTTGGTCCAAATGTAGCTGCTGAGGAAGCTCCAAGCGCCATGCATCTAGCTTCTGGTCGAGGACGGCTACACTTTCGACTAGTGTGCGCAAGCGATCCGAGGTGTTTGTGCGGCGAGCTGGTTTCTGTGGACGACTTCGGTCACTCAGGCTATATAGCTTTAGTAATGCCGTCCGCACGATGATCGATAGTCGTACTATAGCGACCTTGTACGAAAGTAAGGTTGCCTGGCCCGTGATACGCCGCTCATGTGCATCCCACGTCGGGTCTGCGGATCTGACAGGATATTGGTGGAGCAGCTCGATATCGCAATCGTCGTCGTTGATACTCAGCGGGTAGCCATACAGCATAGAGCAGAACGTTTCGATCTCGTATACAGCCCACCAGCATCGCTTCCTCGATTCCTCTGCGCGTTGCTTGGGGTCGTCCAGGTTGGGAACTGCCACTGCTTGCTGGCTCGATCTGCGATGCAGTTTTAATGCCTGAGCGATACGCAGAGCCCACCCGCAGACAGGCCAAGCTAGCTGGGGCTGTCCATGGTACAGATAGTAGCTGCCTAGGAGGACGCAAGTTTGGACCGCCTCTAACGAGCCCTCAGCCGCGATGTCCAGAAGTCCTGCACGTAGCGGTCCAAGCAGGCGCTCCTGAAGCGAAACAGTTTCTTCGCCAAGACGTGACAGCGTCGCCGTCTGACTGGGATCCAGGTAGCTCAGGCTAAGAATACAGACGGCGAGGTAAACACCCAAGAAAGCCGTTGGGATGCTTCGACATTGAGACGCCGTTCTGGTCTCATCGTACAGTTGCTGAGCTTGGAGTCGAAAGTCGCTCTGGTGGAACACAAGCACGAACCAGTGGATCCGGTCAAAGTAGTTGTTCACGAGCATAGTAGCGATGTCGCGGGCGGGCAATGCGGACAGCATCCCCTGTCTTGTAGCGCTAGTCTTGGTAGCATGCGTCTGACCTCCGCGCTGTCCTCCAGACGTGTCCGATGCTGAGCTTTGAGATGTACCGTCTTCCAGATCATAGCGAGGGGCCGAAAATGCCGAGACTTCTGCGGCATCTGGTGAGGTCGTGTTATGCTGCTGGAAAGCCTTGGGCGCACGTTAGCGTGACAAGCTACAGAAGACTGGTCGTAGTTCTCACCTCGTCCAGGAACATTGACGACGCAGAGGAGACGGCTTCGGATGGTCGCCCGTGAGCCGCCGAGACTTCTGCTGAATCATTCCTACGACGAGCCTTCTTCGCTGGTCGGCCGGCTTCGTGGGTTTTCCACGTCGTTGGCTTGACGGGAGTGGCACAGGTTACATTTGCTCGGATACAGAGTGTGCAAGGGCGGCGAATATCGCACTGTTTGAGGACGACGGAACTTGGCTCACATGGTTAATAGGTAGTGTACTCCGTCATCGTGTGTTACTCAGGTGCAAGAGGGGAGGTCATGCCTTCAGCTTTTGTTGGCGGCAGCGTTGACAGGCGCGTGGCACTCTTCCGGAATCGTTCCTCAAGGTTGGTCGCTGCATCGCGCCGGCTACAGTGGGCGGATGTATGTACGGAGAGGAGCGTGTTGTGTCAGAGGGGCTGTTCCCGGCGGAAGCTGCTGGACGGGAGTGGATGACGTTGCGACAGTTTGACAGGAGGCATCACTGTGGGTCAATCCGAGAATAGCACAATGACGGACTCGACACCCAAATAGTGTACCTAACAACTGAATGGATCTGGCGTCAGCTTTTATGTCGTTCGTTCTAGTCGTTGAGTGGATCCTACAAGCAAGCAGACGACTAATACCGGCTGATGAATAAATAGTCCCTCCACAGCGGGATCCGTTGCATGTATTTCGCAGCTAAATGGAAGTGGAAAGCAATTTCTACTTGAAATACAAGTTTACGTATGTACACACACAAATATCATATATATATATTTTGTGAGAACCTATATATAACGATCTCTGCGTGTTCAAGCTCGCTCTATCTACCGACCCTACTCTGAACTAGCTGACCCGCACAAACACTGCCAACATCATAGACGTGACCACAAGCACCCGCAGCAGCCTCGCCTGCGCAACCTTACGTGTGCGCCACATATGCGAGTCCCCCGAGCTACAGTCACCCAACACCTCTCTAGTATCCTCCCAATGATGAGTCGGCCATGGGCTTGAAGTGGACGCGCGATGGCTCGTCCGTAATGCCCCTCGACGCCGCCTCTTCCATGATCGCCACAGTAGCAGTCGCTCCGATCCGAGTGACGCCGAGCGACATAACATGTAGCACATCGTCCAGTGTGCGAACGCCACCAGCTGCCTTCACTTGAACCTCAGGCTTGGAATGCTGTCTCATCAGCTTCAGATGCGGGACAGTAGCCCCCGCATATGTATACAGTCCGTTCGACTGCTTGACGAAGCCGTACCCAGTTGACGTCTTGATAAAGGCAACGCCAACGTCAGAGCAGATCTGGCACAGCCGGATGATATGACGCTCCTCGAGATAGTCGTTTTCGAATATGACCTTGAGGATGGCACCGTGCTGCACAACGGCTTCGTTGATCTGCTTGATCTCGTCAGCCACGTACTGCCAGTCGCCGCCCAGGGCCTTGCCGATGTTGATGACCATGTCTATCTCTTTGCCGCCCTCCGATGCAGCTCTGGTAGCCTCAAAGACTTTGACTTCAGTGGTGCTGTTGCCATGCGGGAAGCCAACGACGGGGCAGACTAGGACGTCCGATCCGGCCAACGCTTCTTTCGCCCGCGATATGAGGTAAGGCTTCACGCACGCTGTAGCAACGCCATACTTTTTCGCGATTTCGAGGCCAGCGTCGATGTCAGCATCGGTCATGGTCGGATGCAGCAGCGAGTGGTCGATCATCTTGGCGACGTCCTTCAGAGTGACAAAAATGGAATTGGGGGAAGTGGTGTCGGCCATGGTCGCGGGGGAGAGGAATAGATTGTAGAAGCGAGAGGGTTCTCTGGACGCCAGGTTTGTAATCTGGAAAAAAAAGGCAAGTATGATTGATAGGGATTGGGACTCAGGATATCGGTGTCGTTTACAGAACGAACGAACCTAGACTTATATACTCCAAGCCCAAGTCTTTGTTCCGCCCAGATCACATCACACTCCTCCGACGCAAAAGCCATCCCGGTGGCTGTTTCTTCGTCCTGTGATCGCAAGGTCCGGCGGAACTGTATACTATGATGTTGTGGGTAAGTTGAGACCCGTGGGCCAGGTCGTTGAACACATTGTGCAGTAGTGCCCACGAAGCTTTGGCTGTGGTGTTTCGTACAAGGTACCTGACAAGTCGACGCTAAGCCGATTGCAGTATACACTTCCACCGGAACTTGCGATCACAGCGTCGACGCCCGCTCCGGCACACCGGACATCGGACGCCACCAATCGGAACACCAGTCGACTCGGATCGTTCCTCGTCCCGACTGCGTTGAGCGTGGCAACTCATACGCCGACAATCGCAGCACACCAACCAGCACATACGGACTTGGGCATACTGGCTACGTACAAAATCGCCTAGGCCCCTTCCGCCATGTAGAATTTCATCGCTGCCAACGTTGCTGCCGTTGTCTCAAGATGGATGATGATATTTCAGCAGACGTCAATATCCTATCACAGTATCTGTCTAGACCGGATGTCGCCTCTCTCTCGTCTGTCGGACAGGTAGATTGCATCGTGCTATGCGTCAGCTCCGTCCTGTACAGCGCCCAAACAGTCTTCGACACCCTCGTGCAGCAGCCTAGCCTCACCAAAACCCTTGTGCTTTGCGGCGGCCTTGGCCACTCAACCGAGCTCGTACACAAGGCCGTCGCCCTTCACCCGACATTCAAGAGCATAGCTGCCGAGATCTGTGGGCTGCCCGAAGCCCAAGTCCTCTATGCTATCTGGAACTCGTTCTACGCAAGCCAGGTCGACCCCAGCGCTGCACCTCGAATCCTTATCGAAGATCGCTCCACGACCTGCGCTACCAACGCGACGGAAGCACGCAAGCTGCTCGAAGCAAGCGCGCCGCGCTCCATTGTGGTGATTCAAGATCCGACCATGGTTCGACGGACGGTGGCATGCTTCGATCGTGTCTACTCGGACATGGCGCAGCCCCCGACAATTCTTGGCTGTCCGATCTTTGTTCCTCGCGTAAAGTGTGACGGCACTAGCGGGCAGCTGGCATACGAAACACCGCCGGTCAACGAAGCATTGATGTGGAAGATGGACCGTTTCTTGCAGCTGGTCATGGGCGAGATTCCGCGATTGAGAGATGACGAAAACGGCTACGGTCCCAAGGGCAATGGCTCCATCGTCCATGTGGATATTCCCGATGAGGTTGAGCAGGCTTACACGCGGCTTGCCGGCAAGATTGCGCACCGTAGATGAGAGTATTCGGTAGTGATTCGCCGGGTGTCCGAGATGAGCTCGTGCAGCCGCACATTAGGCTTATTTTGTATAGACGAAAAATGAGATAGAGTATCCAGAGTTCCTGAAACGCATCTGGTTGATACCAATCAGATTTCCTGCATGAAATTTGGTGGACTGGTGGTTGAGTAATAATTAAACCAACGTTGATGTATATTAATCACTTTTCGAACCACTAGTTATATGCGCGGAGTCTCCTAGGTAACATTGTGAAGCACCGAAAGTTATGAGGAGGTTCACGATTCAAGACATTGGTCAACATTACAATGTCTTCCAAACAGTTCTTCAACAAACAACGGAACGAAATCAAACAAAGCAACTCTATTACGCCAGCAGCCATGATATCTCAACAAAAACCAATGTTCACGAAACGAAATCAGTTATCAAACCCGCCCCATCCCTCATCTTCCTTCTCTACAGGCTTCTTATCATTCCCCGGTAGCCTGTCATCCGACAACGAGTCCTTGGACCGAACCCTTATCGCGGGGCTAACCGTGCGCTGCTCCAGTTCCTCGATCTTCTCGATGATCCGCTGCACAATCTTGAGCGCCTCTTCGTCGCTCTCAAAGTCCAGCATGCCAACCTTCTCGGCCTCGTCCACCCAGATATCCAGCACGTGGATCTTGAGTCCCGCAGGTATCTTCTTGGCGAGGAGGTGAAGCGGGTCCTTGTTTTCCTTCTTCTCGGTTTTCTCTTTCCTGAGGGATTCGTGTTGGGGCTTGGCATCTTCGTCGTCCTCGTCGGCTTCGGGTTCTTCTTCTTCTTCGGAATCGCTGTCCTCCTTGACGTCCTCGTCCAGCGCAAACGGCCACTCGGCAAGTATGTCGAGAACCTGATCGACTCTTTTGGCGTCCCACGCGCTCTTCTCCTTTCCGCTTCCCTTCTTCCCACCCTTTTTGGATTTGGTAGCAGTAGCAGCACTGACGTCCGCCTTCCCATCCTGCGCGCCCTTCATCCACCTAAAGGAAGCACCCACCACCCGTCTGACCAGCAACAAAAACTTTTCCATGCGCAGCACGTCGATCGACGTCCACTCGCGCGACATGGTCGCCCAGAAACCCCTGAGCCAGGGGACGACGGACTCCCGAGGGAGGATGTAGATGAGATCGGCGAGCTCCTGGGCAAGGGTCTGCTGGGGGATGGCGCGGTCGCACATCCACATGGCGTAGAAGAGACCCTTCCACAGCTTGAGAATGTCGATGGGCGAGAGCGTGGTGGCAATGTGCTTGGCGGAGAGGAAGGTGTGTAGGGAGGCGAGGGCCGATTTGCGGATTTTGCTGTCTATGGAGAAGGAGGAAATGTCAGTGATGGAGGGCTTATCGACTGGGAATTGGGTAGACATTTGGAGTTTAGATGAAACGTGATTGAAAATAGAAGTGGTAGTATTGTTAAGAGGTACAAGGTAAGTCGGTATCCCAAGTGATGATGTAGCTTGTACTTCAATCACATGGCAGTGTATGTACTGGAAAGTGGGATGCAAACGTACCGCTCGAGGCGAGGTTCTTGATGAATGGCATATTTTGCGACGCCATCTTGACTGGTTTTTTTGGTGTTTCCACTCAACTCGATTGTTTCGACTGTTTCGTTGTGTTGTAGTAGGGCCAAAACGCAAATTGGGTATACGCTGTGTAAAAAGACGAAGTACTGGGATCGGTTTCCTAGAGGCGACGAGATGCTGCTGCAGGCCGGGCTGGAGATGATGGTGGATGGAGTTCAAGCCGATTGAAACGAAATCTTGTCCGCCCGGCAGAAAAAACTGGTGGACCAAGCTTCCGAGAGTTGACAATTGGAGATAAGCAGCTGATAAGACTTCGCGGCAGGCATTTGGCTTGTCCAGCTATCGCCAAGATGCGGGGAGTTATGCGCTCGCTATGTGATTGGTGCATGCTAGTAATTGTGGATTCGGCTATGATCAGCAGGAACCCGACAGCAGTCGAATTCCATCCCGGCCGCACCCGTTCCCCAGCAACCTCTGCGGTGGTCACAGGTGACAGCCGAGTCGATGCCGGCAGCGTGAGGCATGGCATTCAGTCACCAGCGACATCGTCGGCAGGACGGAAGGTGCATCACGAAATTTCGATGGTCCGTCCATGTAGAATTCGGCTCCATCCATTCTCCTCCGTCCCGCTTCCCCGCCTTGCCCGCCCATCCGCATTCCGCTATCGATTCGGGATCTCCTTCTTCCCGCTGGCTGTTTCCCCTGATCCCCATACTCTCCCCTAACTTGGCATCCATGCCACTCTGTCCGGACTTCTTCTGGAATCCTGCTTCTTTTGTCCAGGCACCGGGCCTAACGACATCCTCACCGCATCAGCTGTCATGTGGTCCAGAGACTGTGATTTCATTGAAGGATTTACTTTGAAAAAACTGGCGGTCTTGCTAGTCACTTTGATACGCTCAAACACTCAATTTTTCTCAGCCCTGCAAACGGTCATGTGAACTTGGTGTTATCTTTGTCTAGTGTAGTGTCTAGAGGTACCTAGTGTAGGTAGTGTAGATAACGTATACCGGCGGGCCGTCAAGCCTATCAGATTCACCGTGACATGAAGTCCGGCAGCCATCCAGACTCGAGAGTAGTGTATCTTTTATGGGGAGGTTAGCACCAAAGAGGAAGCTTGCGCCTGGCCAGAAAGCAAGTGAAAATCTTCGGACTTTCTTCGTTCAGTTGGGGGAAGCAAAAGGGGAACTGAGGACCAACCAGTGTCGTACTCCGACCACAGAGGAAGAACCTAGCTGTCAGGGCTGTGAACCGTTGACCAATGCAACAAAAACAGGATCCAGTGACAGTCAGGGGTAGATCTACGCCCTAACCCCGCGGAGACCATTGGGCCTTTACCCCGGATTGCGTTCTGTCTGGGGCGGGGAAGGGAGAAGAGCTGGAAAAAGAGACATGTGACAAAAAGGAAGGAAGCGCGGGGACGTATCTAACATGTACCATCTTATTGGCGCGCTTACGCAGGTGAAAATGCGCCTTGAACATGCCACCTCATCTGAGTCGTATCTAAACGATAAAATAAACTCGCTCAAGCATGTAATCTCTAGATGTGTTTGACCTATCTAACGATTTGGCGTCCCTTGTAGTTTTGACTATCGGGGTTGATACGGAGTCACACTAAATGGTTATCTTAACGATACCTTGAGGTACTTTATCTGATATGAGATTGTCGTCTTGTGGTTGGAATCGGAACTTTTAGGGGAAACATCCAAAACCAGCGCTTTCGACGATATCAGCTTGGTTAGTGGAGCGGTTATCACTTCGGATCCTAATACAGGAATTTCCTACAGCTTCCGACAACCCTGGTTTGCTTCCAGGATCGAGTTCTTTTCGGACATTTTGACCGTCGTGAATCGCTTCATTGTTTTTCTCTAGTCCACGGCCAGATCAAGGTACCAGACGATTGTCCGGTCCCAAAATAGCCGATTCCCGTCGGGAGAAGCCCGCTCCAGCAAGCAGCTCCACAGGTATCTCACACGTGCCAAGCACAGCCTGTAAAATCGCAAATGTTGGTCTCCACAGGGCACAGGCAGTGGGACGGGACGCCGCCCATGTCCCCGCCATGCTGCAAGTGCTGCAAGTGCTGCAAGCTCTTTTGTGCAGTGAAGGCCTTCCGCATTCGGCCTCGAGGCTCTGTGTGCCTTGCTTGGCGTCTGGGCAGTGGAAACTGTGACTGTCTCTGACCTGTCGAAATATTCATCATTTGCCCCCTGGCATGACGATGCATGGAAACTTGGGGTCAATGACAAAGATTAACTCACCGTCTCCCTATTATGGATCTGAGAAACCATGCCTGACAGTTTCTTCAAGTCACAAGAACGGTCGGCAAATTTCACAAGGGCCGCAAGGGGAAGCTCAGCTATTTCAAATCCGAGCAAACTCCAGTGTCATTGGGTTCCAAGTGGACCAGATGGGGATCTTGGTGTGGACTGCAGTGGGTAGGGCATCCTCCAACACTTAGTCACGAATTGTGATTCCGTTTACTAGTCCGTCTGACTTACACGAGCCGTCTTCACGATGCTTCCGAGCGTTCCAGGATCGATCAAAATCCACGTTTATCCGTATAAGAACAAGGTATAACGCTAGATGGGCTGTCATGGCCGCGTTTCGGTGAGCAATTTCCGTCTTGGGAAGCTGTCAAGTGACGGCCCTTCTTATGCGATTCATGATGCCTCGGTCGCAAATCGGCCAGCCCTGTTATGGGTTCACATGCCGCCCTCAAGTGGCCTGTATACAACTGTGAATCTGACCTCATAGCAACACTGGTTCTCCAAGTACTTAAGGTCATATGTAGTCCTACGGGCTGGCTGTTTGCTCTGCTTGTTCCCGTAGATTCCTCCCTTCCCATGTAAACTGTGTCGTTATCCTACTAGTACGGCATTACACAACAACCTACCCAAAAGACCAATCGCACAGTCCGTATTGGTCACGACTTGCAAACTTGAACCAAGAGAGTGCTACGATCCCCAACTTCTAGCCAGCAAGATACCAGCCATCTTCCCCGCCCTTCCGTACAGGCTGAAGAGCTAAAAAGAGAACCGCTTACGGACCGCTGGAACCTCCTTGCTCGATCCGAACTTCTGGCTAGATCCGACCGAGTCCGCTGACTGTAACCCCCCGAAACTTTGGCCTGTCCAAATCCCCGTCCGTTGTCGGTGTACCCAGACAGCGGTTTGCAAGGCTGCATCAAATCAACCGAAGAGAGTCCGTTCCAGGCCTCGCCGCAAAGAATTTTGACATACCTCTCCCGAAACCGCCTCAGATACAAAACAGACAAGATGGCGCCTGCCTCGACTTTATTGCGCGCTGCCGCTCCCGCTCCTCACGCCCACACTTCCTTCCCCTCCCACCACACACCAACGTCATCGTCAAATCGCACAACCATCACCAACACCAACCCTAGTGCCAACTCCACCTCTTCTACTCCCCTCCACCGAATCCAGACCATCGCCAAACACATGGCGCTGCCACAAACAACAAGTTTCCCCGCCGAGGTGGTACCTCAAGCTCCCGAGGATCCTCTCTTTGGGTTGGCGAGAGCGTTCAAGGCGGACCCAAGTCCCCAAAAAGTTGATTTGGTATGTTGCTTTCTCACGGCCACCCACATGCGCCGTGTGGTGCAAATAACACAGCAATTGCTAATTTGCTGTTTCCAGGGCATCGGCGCGTACAGAGATGAGAATGCGAAGCCGTGGGTATTACCAGTTGTCAAGAAGGTGAGTGTCGCTTTATGTTTATTTCCATTTCATCTGGCCATGCGGCACACTGGAGTCCCCGTCACTGCAGTTCCATCGCGAGGGCCTCAAGAGCCTCACTGTGTCAATCCGGGGAAGCCTGTAGGCGATTGCCCTGGGCGGGATAGGGTAGCCCCTGGAGCTAGGCACCTCGTGCGGCCTACAGAACCCCTCCCTAAGAGCCCCCCTTCCACCTTCCAGGGGCACTTACAGCTCTCCCTGCACTGTCGCCATAGTGACCATCGAGAAGAAGCCATCAAGATGCAGCAAACAGAACGCTAGGTAACTAATTACTTGCCCACAAAACAGGCGGATGAAATCATACGAAATGACCCTGAAGCCAACCACGAATACCTCCCCATCGCCGGTCTCGCTTCCCTAACCAGCAAAGCCGCCGAGCTCGTTGTCGGTGCCTCTGCTCCCGCCATCGCCGAGGGGCGCGTCGCCTCGATCCAGACCATCTCCGGCACTGGCGCCTGCCATCTCGGCGGTCTCTTCCTCTCGCGCTTCTACAACCCGTACGGCGACGCCTCCAAGAAGCCCACCGTCTACCTCAGCAATCCAACATGGGCCAACCACAACCAAATCTTCTCCAACGTCGGCCTCCCCATCGCCCAGTACCCTTACTTCGACCAGAAGACCAAGGGCCTCGACATTGACGGCATGAAGAAGGCCCTCTCTGACGCCCCCGAGCGCTCTATCATCCTCCTCCACGCCTGCGCCCACAACCCCACCGGCGTCGACCCTACGCTCGCCCAGTGGCGCGAGATCGCCGAGATCATGGCCGCGAAGGGCCACTTCCCCTTCTTCGACACCGCCTACCAGGGTTTCGCTTCGGGCGACCTCGACCGGGACGCCTCCGCCATCCGGCTCTTCGTCGAGCTCGGTTTCGAGCTCGTAGTCGCACAGTCCTTCGCCAAGAACTTTGGTCTCTACGGGCAACGCGCTGGCTGCTTCCACTTCATCTCCGCTCCTTCGCCGGACGCTGCGTCCATAACCACCCGCGTGGCCTCGCAGCTCACCCTACTCCAGCGCTCCGAGATTTCCAACCCGCCCATCTACGGCGCCAAGGTGGCTTCGATCGTACTCAACGACCCCGCGCTCTTCGCCGAGTGGAAGGAGAACCTGCGCACCATGTCGGGTCGCATCATCGACATGAGGAAAGCTCTGCGGGCAAAGCTCGAGGAGCTTGGCACCCCGGGACCGTGGAACCACATTACCGACCAAATCGGCATGTTCTCATTTACCGGGTTGAACGAGAAGCAAGTGGCTAAGCTCAGGGAGGAATTCCACATCTACATGACCAAGAATGGCCGCATCAGCATGGCCGGTCTAAATACAAAGAACGTAGAGTACGTTGCCAGGGCGGTGGACAAGGTTGTCAGGGAGGTGCAATAGAGGATGCCTCACTCTTTGCTTTCCTTTCTGATCTAGGTCTTTACTGTTTCTCGGTCATTTCTCTTACTCTTTCTTGTTCCCTGCTATTCCCTTTTTGTTGACGAATAAGCGGTTATCGGGTGGTGATGCTGTATGTCTGAATGGGGATTAGCAAGATTACAGCGATCCTCTCTTATCATCAGTAGTACCGGGTTTATTTGCTGGTCTGTTATTGGGGTTTTATATGGTAACGAGGTCGAGGCCTAAGATGCCTCCCCCATGGGTACTACTTGCTGCTGAATGGATGGGAACAGCAATGGGGAAAACTACCTATCGATGGGGAAAACATTGATGGGATAGAGGCGCACACTAATTCACGTGCGCGAATGGTTAATCAAAAATACTTGTTCTCTTTGTTTGGTCCTTGCTGGACTTTCCGAATCCCCCAAACGCTTGTCCCTTTTCTTCCAATTTTCCTTGTGTGATGATCTGCGTGATGGAAGTGACTGGTAAAGCGTTTGGGGTTCCACTCAGCCAGCCCCTGATAGAACGTAAACAAAATGCACTCGACGATATCCACAACTGAGAACGGGGCAGGTATTACCACCATAGCGCGGTCCATCTGGGTGGTAGAAAAAGGATCTCCAGGGATAGTCCAGTAGATTTACAAAGCTCCAACGAAGTTGTCATGATTTTGCATTGAAACTTACCTCTATCCATGGATCAGTTCTATCCTGCAGTATCAACACTTAGGGATATTCTTATCAAGTAAGATGACCTCGATGACAGTCCTTTCATTCAATGAGTTTCTGATAGCAATATCTTGCTTGACGGATTCTTTTCAAGAACATTTCCAAAGGAGGTGATTTTGCTAAAGTAATCTGGGTATCTTGGTCTTAGAAAGGGGTATAAGGTCATCCTGGAGAGATGGTCTTGCCGTCTTAAGCTGATAATCGTCCTGAAATGTATTTTACAGTTACGAGAACTTCATATCCTGAGGATCATTTACTAAAAACTAGATGACGCTCTATGGGCATGATCATCGCTTCTTAATCTATACTGCATACACTGCCTCTACACGTCTAGTAAGTGTAGAGGACTGGCTGATCTGTCTAAACTGACATGGTAATCTCCACCGAACACAATTGTGTACCGGTCTGATAACTCTGTACATACACGTAGAACCTCTTCACTTTCGTCTATCTGCTCTAGCTACTCTGTCCTGGAATAGGACAGCCAGGTGCCGTATTCACAGCATCCATGTTCGACTATTGACCAAGCAGATATCGTTCTTGCACAAGACGGTTTCGTGCCAATGAAGCACATTCAGTTGACCCTGATGGAATGCTTTGGTAACTGTTTTGTTTTTGCGTGCCCAATCCTGGAACTGCCTATACGGATATCTCTTAGCCTCGGAAACACAGAATGACCAGACAATGTTGTCAAGTATTTGATACGGTAATAGACTGTATCTAATGTGCTGCACAAAATCCGCTGTTATCGCTTGCGACTTGATACCATACCCCCTCAGTAAGTCATCACCAACCCCAAGGCATACATCGGCTATCCTGCAGCGTCTGCCGCCTTTTCGTTTACTTTTCCACCTTGTAACCCATCCGCAATCCCTTCCGCCCAGTGAGTGACTTCTCCATCCCTCAGACTGTCGTGACACAAAGATTCAACTACTCCTCACTAACCCGTCGTGTTTTCATCGGTCATGTAGCCCATCTACCCGGATACCATACCCCCAACACGCTCCATAGTTGAAAGGATCCACGTCGGGTACTTTAATGATCATGCTGCTGTATATGTTAGCGAGATTCCGAGGACGACACGAGAGAAACTTTGTGAGGTATTAGAACAGGGGAGGAAGTTCAATGACCGCAGCAAATGAGACAGGGTCACTTGTCAACTGTCCTCTTGCTCGATACAGGAACGTGGGCCCCCATCACCATGTGAGGGTAGACAACATCGCTTGATTCAACGTGTACTGTGTCTGTCTGTGATTTAATGACATCAACTTACTGATAATCAGTTGTCGAATCTCTCGTCCGGTCCTTCACGAAAAATCACTCGAAGGTGATTCCCGGGGCGGTTATTGATTTTAATATCAAAAAACAGCCTCTTGCCTTTGGCCTCCCAACGCCAGAACAAGCCGTCCGGACAGAGCCATTGCAGCGCCGCACCATGCCGTGGCCCTTCGACAAACCCTGCACCTGTGATCTGGCCAAGGTCAAACGACAAGAGTTCGTCGATTCTCTCTGTGCTCTCTTGGTCAAAATCATTGAAAACAAGATCTTTGACGGATCTAAATAGTTGATAGCCGAACTGAAGCGTGGGTTTGATCAACCTGATAAAGAGTGGATAGCATGGGAATATCCCAAGACGGGGATAGCCGGAGCAGGGGGGGCATGGGATTATGTCTCTTAGATTGTGATATTGAGTATGACGTTCAGGGCGATCTCGATTTCCCCGAATTCTGTCGTCAATTGCCAGCTCGGTCCGAAGTAACGCGTTGAAAAATATCTGTTCAAGGAGCTGGATGTCCGGGTTCTCTACTTGGACGCGCGCGCGTAGGGAAAGGTAGCTTGTAGTTACCGGAAAGCTGAAATTGTCCACTGTTGCAAATAGGTAGAACGCCAGAACCTGAGCGGCAGTGAAGAAAGCAGTGCCGGCTACTTTCGATGATGGTGGCCATGCAAACGCACCATTTACCGTCGAGAATACATGGTGGACGATGTTTGAGGATAATTGACCAAGCGACATGTTGAACGGGGATGTCGACACAACCGTTGTGGGAAGTTGAACAAAGAGATAAGCCTGGCCTTCTCGTAGAAGCAACACGTGCGTAGGCGGTCAGGAGTAGAGTTTCGATAATGACGAGGGTATCACATTCGTGGGCACCTGCTTGCAATCGGTCAGCTTTTGGTCGGTAGAGATTATGTTGGAAGACACCTACAGGTGCCTTTCACTTCCGTTCAGGGTACTCCGAATGTTGGGGTCAATATTCCGAAGAACTTGATGTACCACAGCAGGCAATTTGACGGCGGCGGCAGCGTAATGGCAAACAATACCCAAAACGGAGGATAAAAGGAAACTCGGATGAGGAAAAGCCAATGAGTCCCGATATAACAAGCGTTACTGGTACTGGTGATGATGATGGTGCCGATATTGACGTGTATTCTAGATGGTCCTTGTGATATTTGACCAAGTCGCAGCTGGCAAAATTTGATGGAGGGGAAGAAGACATGATTTGCCCGACCAAGATGATGATTACAAGGCTGGCAGGCATCGAGGAAGGAGGGGGACATCGATGTGGTTTTTGGTGATGACAATACGAGAAGTTCTTGCACTTTGCAGGTCCAGGGTACAATAAACTAGATGCAACAACCGACGAGACAGCCGAGTTTGACGCAGAAGGATGCGATCAGTGGGAGAAGGATCGTTGGAGTAATAGTAGCAAGTGGCTAATCTGCCTCAATTTTGTTCAAGCGCTTGCCGCCTATAATGCGAATTGCGGACGCCAACGATCTTAAATGATCAAATCCCATACAACAAGGAAGGCGCAGAGCCCCGTAGCAGCGAAGAAGGTATACCGAGCTGGACTGGCCCTGTTAGTGCTCTTCTTGAGCTCCTTGTTACCCCTGTCGACGCCCTCGGTGGTCTCGAAAGACTCGGCAACAAGCTGGTCAATATGGGCCGATTGAGTTGTGAGATTGCTGACCAGCATATTTTGCAGTTCGGAAATCTCGAGCAGTGATTGTTCGGCGGCCCTGTGACACAATTAGTCCCTGGTGTGGACCTCGAAAATCGTCCTAGACATGTTCCATACCTGACTTTGTCCAGCGTGCTCTCAAAGTGCTTCACCATATCCTGATTCCCCTTTTCGAACATTTGTATTTGTTCATCCGTCAGGTCTTGTGTAGGCACCGCCGATTTTCTCTCATACTCATCCACAGGCAGGTGAGACGTGTTCCCCTGGACCACGCTTCCGGACCGCCTCCGTGAGCCAAAGTGATTTCCAGTATCCAATCCAGTACTGCTCCTTGCCTTGGCCAACACGCTCCTATTCTTTTCCATCTCCCGCGTCAGCCTGGTCTCCATCATGGCCTGCTGCGTTCTTGCTGTCTCCTGCAGGCGTTGCCTTAGGTACCAAATAACACTCTCGCGATGTGCGCCCAGCTGACGGGCAACGGCCTCGGCAGCAGCATGTTCTTTGCTCTTTGAGCTTCCTAGCGGGCCGCCGCCAGCAGCCCAGGACCCCAATGCGCCAAGGCCGCGGGCATACTTCTTCTGGATCAAGGCGGTCTCGGTGCTCTGGCGCAGCTGCTCGGCGTCCTCGAGGGCGCGAATGCGGGCATTGAGGTCGCGCAGCGTCGCTTTGGCATTGGCGTCGATTTCTTCGCGGTCACGATCGGTAAGGTAGACTGGCTGGGAGGAGCCGTTACGAGCCGAAGTGTGGAGGTGTGTCTTGCGCGGAGCGGCAGTCGAGAGGTAGGCTTGACGGAGATTGCGAAGCTCAGAGTGTAATTGGGCAACAAGAGAGGTCTGATAATGTACGTTAGGAATTTGTTCCAAGAGGGTGCCATGAGTGGGGGAAATGGCCTACGATTCTGTAAGCCTCCTTTAGGAACTCGTCGGCGGTATCAGTGGTAAAGGGTTTCGTGGGAGGTGCATCGTGGCCTTTGAGGAGCCCGTTGAAGGTGGAGGTGAGGTCCGCCATGATGTTTATTAAGGATTATGACTTATGTAGTGGTTATCTTGAGGGCCACCTTGTCGTCCAGGTCTCGAATCAGTGTCCGAGGCCATCAAGGTGTCACGATGTCAAAGGGAAAGTTGAACTTGGAGACGGGATGATCCCGTTGCTGCTGCCGCATGCTGTACGTAGTGTAGCTCAACGTGGCTGAAATGATGCCAAGCGATGACGGAGTGCATCGATCAGTGGCTGGTGCTTGGGGTTTGGATGCGATGTGGCTTTGGCATCCGGTCGGTGCCTGCCAAGCTCGCCAAGGTGCCAAGATGCCAAGATGCGCGCCCTGCCGTTGTGGAGCGTTTGTTGCCCCGACCGGAGCGGAAAGCGGCAAAAACGGCGCCGATGTCGTCCAACTCGGTGTTATTCTCGCCATTTCGGCAACCATAGTTTCTCCCTTTTTCCTGTTTTTTGTTTCCTTATCATCCACACCGAGAAGCTCGAATGGAGTTTGGACATCGAACATTGACGGAACCGATATCGGGTTGAAAAAAGTAGTAGCACAAAGCTACGTGGCTACGTACCTCTAATGATAGTTACGGGAGTTGTTCGTATCGAGGAATTCGGATGGTGATGAACGGACGTTGAGTTGATCTGTTGATCACGAGCACAGTGTAAGTAAACATGACATCTCCCTCGACATAGATTGTGTGCCCTCTAGTAGTGTAGGTCAAACTAACATTGCCCAAATTCATCTCTTCAAGCGCTCAACTGGTGATCGATCATCCTGGCTGGACTGGTAATAATGCCTGGTCAAAGCAAAAGACATAAACGTGATTCATCCGCTCTCTACGTCCAGCACAACTCGTTGGCCTCCGGACACTCTGACCTTCTGCCTGCCCTCTGTACACTATCTATTCTACAGTACGGATCGACGTGATTGGTCAAGTTGTTAGTGATAAGCTTAACCTCCTTCCTCTTCGGTCAAGCTTAACAATCCTCCATGATTCTTGTTTGTTCAAAGAAAGAGCCAACGGAAGCCAGACCCTGAGGTAAGGCCACCACCCCTTGCGAACTGGGGATACAAGTCATGCAATGAGCTCCGGAAATAAAAAGCCTTTCAAGTATCGCCGTCCAAGCGGCAGTTGGGATTTCTCGTATGACCATCTATTCCACCCCCCCCACTACCCTTCCTCTTTTTGTCCCTTTCAAATACCGATTGATGCTCGCCGCCAGATATCTTAGTGGCGGTGAGGTCACATCTCCAGCATAAGTAATTCTGGATTTTTCGTTTGCTACCGGTTACATAGAAGCATCGTACTTCTTTAATCCAACCTAAACAAAACCGCTCCTGGATCAAGACCGGAGCCACCCAACATGAGTGGTCCCCGTCCTTCATCTCCCTCCCCCACGGCCTCAGTAGGTCGAGCCGTCGACTCTTCAAAGTCACCACTGCAAGAGCAGCAGCAAACAAGAGCACCCGCCCAAGAAAAGGAGGACGGCATCACAGCAATATCACCCAGCAATGACACTACTACCTCCCGGCCGGGCCCCGTACCCGGCCCGAACCCGGACCCGGACCCGGACCTACACCCTTCAGACATCAACGCCTCCCAAGACCCCGAAGCCAGCCTCACCCGCCTCTCCTCCGGACCCGCCTACACTGTCTTTCCCCCCTCCACCCGCAAATGGATCGTAACCATGATCACCTTTGCCGGCTTCATCAGTCCCATGACCGCCAACATCTACTTTCCCGTTCTCGACGCTGTCGCTCACGACCTCAACGTCTCCATCAGTAAAGCCAACCTGACTTTGACAACCTACATGATCATGCAGGCCTTTTCCCCGACGCTCTACGGCGACTTTGGCGACGCGGCTGGTCGTAGACCGGCGTTCATTATTTCTTTTATCGTTTACATTTGCGCCAACTTGGGACTAGCGCTGCAAAAGAATTACGCGGCGCTGTTGGTGTTGAGGATGTTGCAGAGTTTTGGAAGTTCCGGGAGCTTGGCGCTCTGTTACGCAGTAGTGGCTGACGTCGCTGTTTCCGCCGAGAGGGGAAAATACATGGGTTTTGTTTCGGCGGGGATCAACATCGGTCCTTCTCTTTCGCCCGTCATCGGTGGCGTGATCGGGCAGTACCTGGGATGGCATGCCATCTTTTGGTTTTGTCTGATCTACACGGGGGTCTGGTTGGTGCCGTATGTTCTGTTGGTGCCGGAGACGTGCAGAAACGTGGTGGGCAATGGGTCGACGAAGCCGCAGGCGTGGTGGAATATGACGGTGGTGGATTATGTGAAGGGAAGGAGGAGGAGAAGACATCCCGGCTCCAAAGAGGAGGAGGAGGAGGCGAAACGGCAGGCCGAGAGGACGAGACCGAAGCTGAGGTTTCCGAATCCGTTCAATACCTTGAAGGTGGTTTTCAACCCGGACTTGGGTTTGCTGATTTCGTACGGAACAATGGTTTACCTGGTTTTTATCCTCATCTGCGCTACGCTAGGCACCCAGTTCGCCGATAGGTACGGGTATAACCAGCTGGAGACCGGTCTTTGCTATTTACCGTATGGCATCGGCTGCACCGTGGCCGCGGTCGTGCAAGGCAGGATCCTGGACTGGAACTACCGCCGTTTGGCCAAGAAGATGGGTATGACGATCGACTACAAGCGCGGCGACGACTTGTCCAAGTTTCCCATCGAGAGGGCCAGGCTGCAGCCTGTCATTCCCATCTTGGGAGTCGGTGTGGTAGCGACGATCGGGTACGCCTGGGCGCTGGAGACTACGACGCATGTAGCCGGCCCGTTGGTGTTGTTGTTCGTTGTCGGATTGTGTGTCACGGGCAGCTTCAGTCTAGTGAATACCCTGGTGGTGGACCTGTATCCGGAGGCGCCGGCGACGGCGGTGGCGGCAACGAACTTGGTCAGGTGCTTGTGCGGCGCAGGGGCGACGGCGTTTATCGAGGCCATGTTGCAGAAGATGGGCGTGGGCTGGACGTTTACGTTTTGGCCGCTGGTGCTGGTGGTGTTTAGTCCGATTATCTATCTGTTGATGGCGAGGGGACCGGGGTGGAGGGCGCAGAGGAAGGCGAGGTTTCAGAGGGAGAGGGAGAGGAGAGAGCAAAAGGAGAGATCGGCTAACGAGGAGAGTTTGGAAAGTTCGGATAACTCTTCAGCGAGTGTTGAGAAGACGGAGGAGGGTGATGGTGAGAAGAGGATGGTGGATGGGATATTCGTGACCGAAGCGAAGAAAGGGCAAGGCTTGAGCAGCTAGGTTCCCCTTTGTGGTGTTTTCGGTGTTGTGATATTTTGCCTTTATTCATGTTGAGTGTTTCCTTGTTGACCTTATCGCTCACGATGATGATACCACGTAACAAAGATAACTTATGGTCTTGGTGGATAGAAAGGGATTATCCATAGACGATGAATGCCACTAAATGATGGACGCGGAGGGGTCGTTAGGCAGATGAAGCATGAAGATACGCATATAGATTCGACGGGCAAGTGGCCATCGTCACCAACACCTATAGTGTCACCGTTATGATCAGTCTTAATGTCGTAATGCCAGATAGTTACCCATCAACATTGTTACTCTCTATATCTGAAAGTCACTGTCAGTGCAACATGTAGCTTAGCTCGGCAAGTGTCTTGCGACCTGCCATTGTCGACTTGGGATCCG